CCTCTACCAGCCTAAACATCACCGTTAGTTTGTCTAAAGTCTCTCCCTTCAGGAAACAGCTCTATTTCTAGCATGTTGCTCTCACTTTCCCTGAATACTAAGAAAAAAAAATGTACTTCATAGCTGTATATGATCCAAAACCCTTTGTCATGGACCAACCATCTTTCCTTATTGGTCTCTTGTTCTTTATATATTTGTTTTTCTGTTTTCATGATTCAACTTTTTATGTTTTTTTCCTTATATTTTTTAGATTTTCTTGTGAACAAGATATTTCCTCTTATTTCTTCTTTTGTCTTTTATTCTTTGAAGTTTATTCTTACTGTGTTTCTGTTTATGCAGTGATACCCATTTAATAGGTGGCTTATAAGAAGTCCTAATTTCTTTACTGCATTCATTTACTTTAAATTAAACGTGTATGTTTCTAGAAAGTTAGTGCAATTTTTTATAGCTCTGTCACAGTACAATGTCTAGCCTGATTTGCTGTCTTCTGATGACAGTATCTTTCATATTAGCTCTATTCCATTTCTCACTTCGTAGAATAATTGTATTTAGGTTACTTTGCTACATGTGATTTAATGATCTAATCTGGTGTCTTTTTTTCCCCTGAACTGTTATTTTGTTTACCTGCTAATGTGTAAAGGAATGGCAGGGTTGGCTTTTTTGTTTGTTGGTTTTTTTACTTAATCTGTTTCATGTGATACAGCACACAAATTAAACTCTTAGCAACATTATCAGAAATTTCAACTGAAAAGAAAACTGGCAGTCTTATCCTTCAGAAGGCCTAGAGCAAAATAACAAGAGGAAAAAATATAGGTCGTATGGTGAGAATATTTTTGGAGCAGTGCTATGGTAGAAATCTTGGTTTTGCCTGAATTGACCCATGCTTGGCTATGTCTCTAGCTGTATGTCTTTGCCATTTTATAAGGGCTGAATACTTATTGTCTAATTAAGTGGTAAAACTTCTGAGAAATCAAGGTTCACCAGCACCACAGAATACATAGTAGGAGTTTCCACATTGACCTAGTTCTCATTCTCAAAAGGTCTGGCTACCACAGTCACTTCATTGCATTTCCTTCATTAGTGTATTTTTTTAAGAAGGAGCCAGTCTCCTTTATTATGAATTTATTTAATATACTCCAAATACCACTTCATTGACTTATGCAGCCTCTCCTCATTTGAGGCCCTGTGGCCACACTGCCGCTCTTGCTGATTTTTATGGAACTACAGCAGATTCAGCTGTGGTAGGATATTTCTCCTAGCTGAAGCACAAAACCATTTATGAAAGCATAGAGAGTGAATTGCATTAAAATGTCTGAGCAGGTTTTCACTGTAGAAGTGACCAAAATGACTTGCTGGGAGTGGAAACAAGCACAAGAATGCTTAAAACCGTGTTAAATAGTCGTGGTTGATTTTTGCTGTTGATTAACCTCAATAGACTAATATGTTTTCCATTTTTGATGTGGTAGGTTTAAACTGAATTCTGAATTATCTTTAACCCGTCTGTAATAACGTATTTCTTCCACTTTAAACCTGATTTGGGTATACAGTTTCTGGTATACTTTGATTGGAAAATTTCCTTCTTCTGCCATCATATCAACTGCTTATTGAGGACACTTCATACACAAAACATGTAATATATATGGAATGGAACATGGTTTGAGTTTACTAAGTAGTATGCCTAAATTTTTTCTCCTTTTAAGAAATATATCCTTCTTTGAAGTATTAGTTCTCTATGCTTCTTACTGGTTTTCATAGACTTCTTTTTCTATTAATTTAATAGCATCTTTTTGGAGAACTTAAAATAAACCAGACTGAAATTGCCCTTGATATAAAAAGACACAAATCCTAATTAAGTCCAAGGAAGTTAAGTCATCCAAAGATTGAATTTAGCCTCTCTGTTTTATTGGGTCACTGGCACGTAGTGCTTTGTTTTATATTTGCAACTGCCAAGTCCTGGTTTTGGAGAGGTAAAGCTGCATGATGAGCTGTTACTAAGCATATGTTGTTTCAACAGTGTGTATTTCAGAAATTTTCATGCAATATAGAATTTTTATATGAAGATCAGTTAGTGCACATCATGAATTTTTTTGGTTTTCAGTGATAATTTTTTTGAAAAATCCAGATTCTTGCTCTTTCTCACAATATTTATGAGGAAATTTGGATGCTAGGAATGATTTCTCAAACCATCTGGCATCCTCTGAAGTAAGATACCCTGGTCTTGGAGGAGAAGCAAATGAGTAATGTAAGAGCAACTAATTAGCAGAGCACTTGCATTCTACTTGTCTAACAACATATAGTTGTAGTTTATGAAAGAATTGGAGGTTACCTTTTAGAAATAGCATTTTCCATGAACAGTAGAGGGAGAATTTATTTCAGTGTGGAGAATACTTCCTACGAAACTGGAAAAAGACCTACTTCATTCTTACATTAGGGAAGTTGATTGTAATGCTAAAAGTGTAATCAAAGAAAACCTTTGCTTTGATCTGAATGCTGTAAAATGAGTAGTAATATGAAGATGGTTTTCTTCAAAAGTTGCATTAATCTTCTGTAGTCATGTTTTTCTTTTATCAGACAAGGTTTTGAGGGTAACAGTGTCTGTTTTCTTCACTACTAATAACAGATAGGCAAATGTTTATCAGGTTCCTCCCTTTCGGGATGTCGGATGCTTTGCTGAATCTGTCCATCTTTAACAAGGCTGACTTTCCTAGCAATAAAACTAATCTTCATATGGGACTTACATAATTATCCCATTGTCATCTCTATTGAAAGGTAGCCAATAATTGCTTTGTATCGATCATTCCTTTTTTCCAAGTTTCTCACTGAGGCTTAGCAGAGTCTGGTGAGAAAAGACAGTGTGCCCCTTATGAAGCTTTGCATGAAGCCTTGTGCTTGTAAAGCACTTCAGTCTCAAAGGCATTATCTGGGAAATAACATGCGCTTGATCTGAGCCATGAGCTCTGTGTATGTGGGAGAAAGGGGGAGAATGGAAAAATATCTGAGAAAGGGATGTGAAATACAAAATCTTTGGAGCTTTTCTGGAACCTGCCAACTTAGATGTTTTACTTTAAAGCCTTGTAAATTCTCAAAGTGCACCTGTGCTGAGTTTCACACTGCTGATTCTGTTGACTAAAATAATCTTCTTTTAATGAGTTGCCGTGAAATAATAATCTAGTATAGTAAGCAGTGGTGATGGTAGATGGAGTAACAAAACACAAATCAGGCCTTGGGGAGAAGATGGGTAAGTGTCATCAAATTTTTGAATCTGATTACGAGTTACTTTGAAGATTTTAGCTGATGAAGTCTGAGCAAATGCCTACCATAACGTCAGCAAGGTTTTTCACACAATCTCTCACGATGTCCTCATAGGCAAATTCAGGATGGACTGGATGAGTGGACAGTGAGGTGGATTAAGAACTGGCTGATCAGCAGATCCCAGAGAATTATTATCAGTGACACAGGGTCTAGTTACAGACCTGTCACTAGTGGTGTCCCCCAAGGTTCAATACTGGGCCCAGTATTGTTTAACTTCTCCATCAATGACTTGGATGAATGGGCAGATGCCCTCTCAGCAAATTTTCTGATGACACAAAGCTGGAAGAAGTGGCCAATACCCCAAAGGGCTGTGCAGCCCTTCAGAAGGACCTTGACAGGTAGGAGAAATGGGCAGAGAACTGTCTGAAATTCAACAAAGGCAAATGCATATTACTGCACCTGAGGAAGAATAACCCCATGCACCAATACAGGCTGGGGGCTGACCTGCTGGAAAGCAGCTCTGTGAAGAAGGACCTGGGGGTCCTGGTGGACAACAACCTGTCCATGAGCCAGCAGTGGCCTTGGTGGCCAAGATGGCCAATGGTATCCTGGGATGCACTAGGAAGAGCCTTACCAGCAGGTCGAAAGAGGTCCTGCCCTTCTACTCGACCCTGGTGAGGTCACATCTAGAGTGCTGTGTCCAGTTCTGGGTTCCTCAGGACAAGAGGGACATGGAGCTCCTGGAGCAGGTCCAGCAGAGGGCAACAAAGATGATAAGAGGACTGCAACATCTCTCTTATGAGGAAAGGCTGAGGGAGCTGGACCTGTTCAGTCTGGAGAAGAGACCACTGAGAAGGGAACTCATCAATGTCTAGAAATATCTGAAGGGAAGATCTCAAAAGGATGGAGCCAGGCTTACAGAGTGGGTAGGAGTAATGACACATTTGGCAGCAACCTACTTTGCTTGCTTAGTACTTTCAACTTGTTTAAAAATGGTCATTTTAATATAGCAAAACTACAGGTAACATACAAAATTAATGGTTGTACTTCACAGAGCAGCAGTTACCTAAACAACTTTGCAATTGAAGATAAGCTGAATATAACTTGCCACACCAAGGCTAGGAGATGTAACAGTACTTGAGTTTATTGCCCTTTGATGTTAGATAGGAAAAAATGAGAGGTATATTACTTGCTTTTAACATTTGTGATGTTGTTACTGTAACTGTGTACCAATATGAAGCCCAAATATTGTTACAGGCTGATGATGAATTAAAAGGGATTCAGAGGAGTTTCAGTAATGCTTAGAAAACGTGCCTTACATCTAGGAACTGGTTAGCCAAGATAACTTTTAGGCTTGTGCTTAAGATCAACAGGTATCTTTATAAGGCAAGTGAGTAATGGGGTCCAGATGTTCATGTACACAGTAAAATTAAGAAGGAATTGGGTATGGGAAGAACAGCTGTTGTTGTGACCTGTTCACTTCTAATCAGCCATTACTAGAGGGTCCATGCCAGGCCAGCTCTGCTACCTAGATTTGCAAATATTTTTATTGTCTCATGAGGCTGTTGTGCTTGCCTATTGGTAAGACAGAGTTAGCTTGGCTAATCATAGCTAAAAGAAAAAATGATTTTCTATCTTGATACTAAAATAATTTTATTTTAGAATTTTATTATTCTAAATAATTTCCTTTTCTTTTTTTTCTTTTTTTTTTTTTTTTTTTTTTTTTTTTTGAATTTTTATTTGTATAGGGCACCAATGCCTCTGCTCTGGAAAAAGACATTGGCCCAGAGCAGTTTCCAATCAATGAACACTACTTCGGACTGGTTAATGTAAGTACTGTTTTCAGTAGGTAAACCATATACAGAACTATGGCTCTGATGTTACTTGAACTTTGCTTTGTTTGGTTTGGTTTGGTTTGTTTTCCTCTCTCCCTGACTCTTACCAATCTTATTCTAAGGTAGGATTGTCTTTTTTTTGAAAAAAAAAAAAAAAAAGCTGCCCAGGTTCCAATTTCAGGCAAATTAGGTTGCAGAACTGTATCAGATGTTTGAAGACAGATTCATACACTCCCGGAGAGAACAATTTACTGTTCTGTGAATGTTTCCAGAGATTAGAACTTACACTTCAATACAGTTAAAAGTCTATTTTAGCTGTGAAATGGCAGGGAGGAAGTGATGGAAGTATGTACAAGCTTAGGTACAGCGTTCTGCATTGGGGACTCTTAGGAGGAGCTTTTTTATGTGACCAAGGAGAGAATGAGTGAGAAGGGTGTTTAATCACTTGTTTATTCCCACATAAATAATATAGATATAGTAATTCTTTCCATTGAAACATTAGTCATTCTACTACTGAGCAGTAAGATAGAGCCTAGGAAGAGAATGTTATTATATTAAAACAAACTTAACAAGATCCACTACAATAAATATATCTCTTGCAGGTGGAAACCTTTACTTTGCATCCTAGTTAATTTAGAACACCCTAGTTTTTTCTGTGAAGTGTCAGGGGTGGGTGTGGAAATATATTTCTGCAGCAACTGCATGGAAAAGTGGCTGGTTTGTGACAGGGACACAGAAGTTAAATGAAGCAAATAATTTTATTGTGACACACAGGGATTAAGCTTGTTTTTAATTTTACTTGGCAGTTTGGGAACACCTGCTACTGTAACTCCGTGCTGCAGGCATTGTATTTTTGCCGGCCATTTCGGGAAAATGTATTATCGTACAAGGCCCAACAGAAAAAGAAAGAAAATCTCTTGACTTGTCTGGCAGATCTTTTCCACAGTATTGCTACTCAGAAGAAAAAAGTTGGAGTTATTCCACCAAAAAAGTTCATATCAAGGTTACGAAAAGAGAACGGTAAGTGTAAAACTGGAATCCTCTAAGACATTCAGGCATTGATCAGAAATGTATAAATAAATATTGGGCAATGGGATCATAGTAATCAGATGTGCAAGTTAGATTTGTAAATTGCTTTTAGTACTTTGTGGGGTTTTGATATTAATATTTTAGTATCTGTGTACACAATATTATGCTTGAAATAACCATACCAGGTTTCATATGTTCCCAGAAGTGTATGAATTAATAATGTTTTCACAGCATGGCGGGACAGACTGTACTGTACAGTGAGCCGGGATTGGGAACAGGGTGACACTCTGCTCTAATTTTTAAATTCTTCTTTTTGTGGCAGATAGAAACATTGAGGGCAGTTGGCAGTATAGAAACTGTGTGGCCTAGGAGTGCTACAAGCACCACTACTCCAGAACACTTTGGAGAATAAGTAACTGGATGTGTGGGGAGTGTTCCATCAAGTGCACATCAACTGCTGCTCTTGTTCTTAGGAGTGGTGGACACAGTCTTACTCTGTGAAGCATCAGACGCCTTTTGAGCATTAGGCTGGCAACAGCATATGCCTAATCTTGTAGTAGTTCTTTCTATGGGATATGAGGAGCATCTTAAGACAGAGAAGCCTGCCACACAGCTCCATTTTGGCCTAGATTCATATCAATGTGGGTGGTATGCTTAGAAACAGAGGAGCTTTGAATGAAGAGTCAAAGTACGAGTCAAACACCTGGAAGAAATTGCTTCCTGGTGACAGCATATAAATGGGCAGACTGTTCATTTCAAAGCAGATTTTTGAAATTGTGACAAAGTTAACTCTCAGTCATCTAGTGATAAATGCCCCCACACCCTTCGGGATCACTTTTAGAGACTGGATCTTATGTTTTCAGCTTTTTTAAATTAGGGCTAGACTCAGTGTGTATTAACCTGTTTATGTGTCCAGGCTAGACACTACAAAGCTGAAGGTCCTGTACAATATTTTCTGAGGAAATCCATGTGAGCTTTTTCAGGAGCAGGGGAATAAAAATACACGTTTCTGGGAACACAGACTCTTTTTTTCTTCGACATGGTGGCCAAGTTAAGCCTTCACTGGAGAAGTCTGTACTAAGTCACCAGTGGGATATTTCCTTCTTCTCCTGTGAGCATTTATTGAAGAGGACAAGTCTCTGCTCATCAGACTTGTGTGTAAAAAATGAGCTTTGTTAGATGGTGTTATTATTATTACTACTTAAAGTGCGTTAACCTTGACTGACTGCCAGGTGCCCACCAAGCCTCTCTCTCACTCACCACGAAGCAGGGCAGGGGGAGAAAATAATATTAAAAAAACCTGTGAATTGAGATAAAGGCAGTTTAATTAAAAAAAAAAGCAGCAAAGCAAAAATTGCATGTGGAAGGAAAACAAAGCCAAAGGAGATTTGTTCTGTACCTCCCCTCAGCAGACAATTCCCAGCCCCTCCATGGGAGGAAGCAAATTTTCTTTCTTGAAGAAAAAGATATATTATGCTGTACAAATCTTGACTCTCTTCTTCACAGATCTCTTTGACAACTACATGCAGCAGGATGCACATGAGTTTTTAAACTACCTGCTCAACACCATTGCAGACATTTTGCAGGAGGAGAAGAAGCAGGAAAAACAAAATGGGAAACTGAAAAATGGCAACATGAATGAAGCTGAAGAAAACAATAAACAAGAACTCACCTGGGTGCATGAGATTTTTCAGGGAACACTGACTAACGAAACTAGATGTTTGAACTGTGAAACCGTAAGCATTGGGATAGATTTTTTTTGTTGTTGTTGTTGTTCATTAATAGATAGATACATTTTATATACATATAAATATATGAATCTTTTCAGACATCTGAGAGTTGTGGATATTCCTGTAGAATTTACTTCTTGAAGTGAGTATATTCTTTTCTAAAAATTTATTTTTCTAAGCATTACTTGGCTAACATATGTCAGGTTTTGCTGTCGTAATACATATCTCTACAGTTAAAATTCTTGCTAGTGAATCGATACCCTTCCTTATTACTGTAACTTTGAGGGAAGATACTAACATCATATTCAATGAATAAGTGAAACGTCAAGAAGAATTTGTGTGAATTCAATCTTAAAATGCGACTAGTATACAGACAGTTCATTATTAACAAACTATATGTTTTCTTTTATCTCCCTAATATTTTCTAGAAGTTGATGCCAGTTTGGAATCTCTTATGTTTGAAGTATAACTAAAAATTAGTTTTAGTTAGGGGACCTGATTGCAAGTCTGTTATTGATTTCTGTGGTTTTCAATCACATGCTCCTACTGAAAGAGAAGAGAAATATTTTTTAAAAATTATCCCTTTGGTGTTGCTATATGAAAGAGTAACACAGACAGGAAAAAAATCTGGTTTGGGGAGAACAGCAACACTGACCTTCTGAAAAGGTTGGAATTAACCTCACCTAGCCTGTGCCTGGTAAAGCAAAGTTGATAGGCATCAAGGATGAACCAGTTTTCTCAACACCTTCTGTAGATGGTGGAGGTTATAAAGGAGCTTCTTCAGGAAATTCTCTCCATCTATGTCTAGGCTGCTTCATGAAACAGGAAGTTTTTAGCAGCATCAGGCTTTTGCTGCATACAGGTCATCCCGGCACCATGGCGTTACCAAGCTGCTGTTGGTACCAAATATTGGTACAGCAATGCTGTGAACTGGGCCAGCAAACTGTTCTGGCCTAAGAACTCTGTGGTTTTACTCAGATCAGTACTGCTTCTGTGGAAGTACTCTAAAGAAAACACAGCTTTAGATTAGCTGTGTTAAGATGGGGGCTCAAAAAAGGTATCTTCAGACAGCAAGCTGAAGTTAAATATCTTTAGACAGCTGAAGTTAGGTGAGATAAACTCTATCCAGGTCCTACCAGATGTGTAAAAGAACATATCCTGATATTTCTAATCATAAAGGGTAGCTCTGTATTCCAAAAAATTTGACTTTTCCAGGGGCTTGGGTCAGAGTGGGGGAGTGGGGAGAAGAGAGGCAGTGATAGTCAATGTGAAAAAAGGTGCTGAAAGAAGTTTGGAACAAGCCTGTTCAAGTAAAAACATGAGAGATATATTGAAAATTAATTATTTAATCTATTTCAATTTTAAAAATTTTAGCTGTATATTTATACTGCAGTTGATTGCTGCCAATTTTGTGGCTTCCTGTCCCCTGTGGGTCAAGTCATGTCTCAAGGAGGATTTGCTGTTCACTTCAATTGGGTGTGGGTTCTGCCTCTATACATGTTTGATAACAACAAAATTCATCCTGCTAAAGGTGTTCCTCTGGATTCAGGTCTGATATGGGCTGCATTCACCAAGCTTAGAGGATCTCTGATATAACACAAATATGAACTGAAAGTAGTACATCCATAGAATTGCAAAAACTTTGACATCCATAGAATTGCAAAAATCTGAGCATGAGGGACTTCTGCCAGAATGATGAATTCAACCCCTCACGGAAGTTCTTGATTTGAACTTCACTGTCACACCATCTGATTTAGTTATTCTAAGGAAATGCAGCCATAGGAGGCAAAATATGGAGTGTTCATGCAACATTTTATAAACAAAATTGGTTGTTGTGAATATGAGTGAATTCATGTGCAGTAAGTAACTGCAGCCTTTTGACTCAGATAAGTATTACAAGGATTATCCATTTGCATGACTTTTTTGTTAATGTTACTTCACCTTCAAGATTAAACACTCTTAGTAAAAAATAATTTTCAAAGCAAAAATCAGTATGTCATTCTGAAAATATTTGGGCCTATTTTTTTAAATAAAAATTCATTATACTTTTTCTTCTCTTGTTCCGTCTAAAAAAAAAGATTGGCAATATCAAAATGATTTCGCAAATTATTATCACTTCATCATTTTTACCTTTGATCTTCAATATTTTTAGTCAAAAGTATTGTCCAGAAACAATGTTCAATGGGGAAATGCAGCTGAGTCAACCAGAAATATAAACCCAGCCTTTTGAATGCTCACTGGAGAGAAAAAATAACACAGTTAAATATGACATTTTTTGACAGATGCATATTTGGAAAATATCTTCACTACATCCTTTATAGTGGAAAAAATTAGATAGGAATAAACTGTGATTATATAGTGTAATATAATATACAAAGGGTCAACAAAATTCCAGTAAAATAAGAAAGTAGACTGTGTTACATAACAAAGGAACATATGTAATGCACCAATCACAACTAACACAGGGGATGATGATCAACCATCATTTAGTGAACAATAGGCTGTCATCACTGGTCCATGGTTAGTGGGATTGGATAAGTGGAACAGATAGAAGTTAAATTATATGAAAACAGGATTGGTAGAATTACTAATGAATATAGTCACAAGGAACTGGAAAAAAAATAAAAGCATTGAAATTAATAATTTTTGCATAGTTTATTTTCATAGAAATTTCTCTATCCTTTAGCATTTTCAAAGATATAAACAGCATTTAAATGTATGGCATCTCTGTTTTACATGTGTATTTTTTGCAACAGGTTAGTAGCAAAGATGAAGATTTTCTTGACCTTTCTGTTGATGTGGAGCAGAACACATCGATTACACACTGTCTAAGGTAAATGAATGGATCTTTTTGGCAAGTAGTTCTGTCTAGCTGCTAAAATTTCCGAGTGTATTTGGTAAAGAAAATTAGAATAACATTTGGGTTCAAACTTTTCTTAAACAGAAGAAAAAGACTTTAAACTGGATGTTTCCTCTAATGACAAAATATACATTAATGTACTTTGTTTTACTCACTTTCAATATGTGTGTTTGAAAGAGAAAAAAAGTCATCTCTTGGGAAAAATAGATGATTTCCTTGTCATCTAGAAGAATTGCTGCAGAATAATATTGTCTAGAAAGAGTTTTAAGTGTGCTTATCTTTAAGGTTCTACTCAAGTGCTTTGTTGATTAGAATTTATGTGTATATTAAAAGTTAAATGTGTGCTTTGCAGAATGAGTGTTAGAGTACATAGAGGGCAAAATATTTCAAAACTCTAGTTTTCTATTATAAATTTATTATTCTGTATCTCATCCTAAAATTATGTGAAGAAATATTTTATTCTAAAATTTCAGTTCTGCTCCTAGTACAGTCTACTAAAACGTACTTTAGAGATCAAAATAATTTTCAGACATGCATGGATGATTATTCTGAGGGATTTAAAATATTCAGGATTTTGGCATTGATAGAATAAACCATCACCTATATTTAAGACAATATGTTGCTGCTCTAAGGTAATGATTATCAATTGATCAACCTCTTTCAAACTCCAAATAGCAACCAAGGTTGAAATTGCATTTATCAGTAATTCTGGAATGCCTAGGAAGGATTGCTGGGCATCTCATCCCAAGCTGAGAGTTACAGAAAGAGAAATCATGTGAGGTACTAACCATTTCCTGAGTCAGAGAGCAGTGATTTCTCTGTGGATATCGCAACTGTAGTAAGTAACTTCTGTTACATTTTAAAATGCTAAGTCCAATCAGTTTTTACATTATCAGTTTCTGTCTCGTTTGGTCTCTGTAGCCCTCAAGACAACAGCCCTCAAGTAATCCAAACTGCACTAACTAGCTGCACTGTAAAAAGTGAGAAAACTGAAGAGTGGCTTTGGAAAGCAATGCATTATTTTCTCTTTTCCTCCTGTAGTCTCTCTGTCTGTTCATAGTCACCAACAGTAGAATTAGTATTGTACTACAGGCTTTTGGTTGAACACTTTGACTCCTCATTGTAGTCCCTGCTTTGAACTTGTCGGCATTACTTACCTTTCCCTATGGTGTTCCAAGTCAATTTGAAATTACACTGATGCAAGGAGGCTGAAGTGTGCATCCTCTGAAGTCCTTTCTATCCTGAGTTGTTATTTGGTTCTATGTTATACAGTTACTGGAGACTGAGCTCTGACTTTTTCTTACAGTTGAGTCTGTTGAACTTGTTAGAAACTGCTGCTGTACATAAGTTATCATCTATCCTTCAGCTTTCTCCAGTTTTTTATTTTATTTCTTGGTTGTTAAGCTTCTTGGAAATGTTTTGTTTGGATAGACCATTTTATGTAAAGGCAGAATACTTCAGTAAAGTACCAATAGCATTTCTAGTACTGAACAGACAGTGGCTGTAGTTTAAGATGAGGAAGAACTGCATCTGCACTGCTGCAACCCACAGGTGAAGGGTGGAGTTGAAAGTGACCCCAAGAGGTTAGCCCCTATCTCCACATCAGACAGGATGCTTAGCCAACCTGTTCTAGAAGATCTTTTTAGCAGTAGTAACGTGATTGCCTACCCGAGTCCTTCCTGACCTTACTACTAAGAAGTTTTTTCTGCTGTGTAAAATGAATCTTCCCTGTTTTAGTTCAATTCTATTTTCACTTGTTCTCTGTAATCTGGAAATAAACCAGGACTTGCCCCCCTTCCTCTTAGCAGTAGCCTTTTACATGCAGGAAGAATGCAATTACTTTCTTTTAAATTTAAACTATCTAAGGTCGTTTAACTTTTCCTTCTCAGGCTATCTTCTCTAGATCTCTGCTCATGTTCATTACTCTTTGGCATTCTCTTTAGCTGAACCTCTCTCTTGAGCTCCATCTTTCTTGAAGTGCAGCTGCCTAAAACTAGGCATAGTATTCCAGCATAAATCTGCACAATCCTGAGAAGAATGGATGCCCTAAAAGTTTATTTATGCATCCCAGTATAGTATCTGCCTTTGCTCCAACAGCATGACGCATTTTGAAGTTTACCCATTGTTCCCTTTGGAAATAAAGCAAAGCAAAATCTTGGTTTTTCTTTTCTTCTGGTGGGAGATACAAGCTGCTATTTACAGATTGAACGGGAGGAGAGTCATCACCTATGATGTATTCTGATTGTGTTTTACACTGGCAGCATTTCTACCTCTGCTTAGAAAACATATATTCAGTTAGAATATGGATTTCCTCTCATTGTTGTCTGGTACTATGCATTATTAAACAAAATATAAGTGCTTTTGTGATTCCTTTCAATAGGAACATCCAAGTTATTACACTTTTTGGAAACTGCTGCTTCCTGTTTTGTTTTAACAACTGCTTTGCTGTGTCTTAACAGCTTTAAGTGCTACTGCATTGAAAAGATAAAATATAGAAAAACTGTGCAAGGTAACAGTTAAGTAGAAGGAATTTCTTTGCCACTACAGAATGTTCTTTTATCTCTGTAGTTTTTCAAAATGTGAAAGGCCCTTGTGTGCTCAAGATGTCTGAAGAATACAAGCCTCTGGTGTAGTCTAAATCACAGGGTAGACAGCTGGACCTAAAGCAACAGAAGTCCATTACAGATATAGCACACATCCATTATTTTTATTTTCACTAGGAGTTGCAAAGTTTACCAGTCAATTTGATCCTGACTTTTAACTGTGCATTTATATTACACCAAGAATTCTCTCATCTCTTTAAACAGAAAATTCATATTATTTATGCATATAAACATTAGAAAGCATGTTTCACGCTGCAGCATAGAGGCCGTAGAGGAAGGCTACAACGAGGCTTCCATGTACTGTGGAAGCATAAGGTCAATCCTAAACCTAACCCCATGGTCAATGAATAAGTTAGTATATCTTGAGCAGGTGTATTTTAAAATTTCCTTCTCTTGTTAAAATAATATATAAACAGAATGCAGATTGGACTGTTAACGGAATAGGAGGAAGTCAGACATACCTTGAAACTGTGCAGGTCTAGAGAAGAGTTTGGCAAACCTGTGGCTCTTGCACATGCACTTTGCATGAACTCCAGTCAATGACCTGTTGTTTTTAACCGTTCAACATCTGTTAGAAGTGACATGCTGAAAATTCACCACTGATGAAAGACCTACCGAAGAAGTTGCAGTGGGCAACAAAAGCATCTAATTCTCACCTGCATACCTCCCTTCCTCCAAGGAAAGAGTTACTGCTTATAAATATGCCACCAGTTCTGTTCCTAGTATAAAAAAATAAATTAATACGTGCTGTATAAGTGAGTTATTAGTGCCTTTAAATTCCATGACTGTGCCTCACCTGCTTTGGTAGAAGAGGGTCATAGGTGAAATTAGAAGACAAGGAAACAAAAGAGCAAAATGAATGTGGTACATATAGGAGAATGTCCCTTGGCTTATCAAATATTTGTATATTTTTCCAGCTTTCACAGACATAATTGCCATAGCAGTCAATTTACCATTTAAAATGTTAGCTCAGAATCATCAAGGTTAGAAAAGACCTTCAAGGTCATCTAGTCCAACTATTGATCTAGTATAATTGCCCCAAACCATATCCCCAAGTGCCACATCCAGACACATCTTGAACATTTCCAGAGGTGGCGACTCCACCACCTCCCTAAGCAACTTACTTCCATGCCTAACCACTCATTCAATGAAACATTTTTTTTCTAATGATACTAATAATAGATATTGTAATACTACTAATAAATACTACTACTACTTCTAAAAATAATAGATAATAGCATCAGAACAAATAGTACATTTTAGAAGGAATTCAGAAACACTTTGAGTTAATTAATTTTCATGGGAGGCTTATATCTATCAAAATACTATCAAATTTCTACCATCCCCTCATGTTTCTTTATGTTAGAAGAGCATTATTTCCATTGTTTCACTTTGAGGTGGGAAGAAAACTAATAAATTCCACAAATTTGGTGGCTTGGGTTTTTTTTAAATTGCAACTTTAGGGTTTGGAAATAAACATCATACTCTTACTCTAACAGCAGACCTGAAACTTTCACAAGCACATTCTACTGAATCTTGCAGCTTTATGTTCCCTACACAAATAACCCACCTCTAATTTTCTAGAATTTCAGCTCTTTATTTATGATTCCCTGAAAGGTTACCATGTTTTTCAGAGGAATTGACTGAATTCAGTTAATTTTGTCTTTAAATTCGAATGTGAAATCACATATTTGAGATCAGGGTTTACCACTGAAGCAAATATTTTCCAGTGATAATGTTTTATTTTTCTTTTAGATAAAAAAGTAAACTTATGATCAAAGCTTATCTTTTTTAGCTTAACTTGTCTTTCAAGAGATGTATTTTGTCCTAAACTTCAGCACTTTCTGACCAAAGTGCTAAGACCATATAAAGAAAAAAACTTCTAGAAGTATTCTCAGTTATTAAAAATATTATGCAGTCATATTAAGTGCCTCTTTGTCATGCTCTGTCAACCTTAAATAACTTAAAACTTGAAAATGGAAAGTCCCCACCTTTTTGAAGTTACATAAATAACTTCTAATATCTATCCCTGGCAAACTGTATAGTCTTCAGCTCTTCCACCTACCCCTGTAGTGATGATGCCAGGAAGAAATAATCATCCAGGATCCTCCCTTTGCCTTTGTAGGATGATTCTGGTTCTGCCCACTGTAAAAGCAGACTGAACTTGTGGACAGTGTGGCTTCAGCCTCCATGCATGTGAACTGCAATGGTAGAATGGAGTTTACTGGGGTCTGAATGGGTCTGAAATTGCCTGGAGTTCAGAAGTCTGTTAGGTACAATGTAGTTGCAATCAGTAGGACAGTTCTGTACTTCTACTGATATATCTATTTAAGGCTCAAAGTCACAAGAAAACCCATGTGCTTAGAATGGAAGATAGGTGTTTATGTCTGCATTTACAGTTCTCAAAACACCTGCAATGTAACACCTTAGCTGCAACATAATACCAGAGGTGACAAAAAAATTACTTTTTTTTTTCAGTTGAGTGTTTTTAGCTACCTAAAATTCTGTTCCAAAGAAAAACAGCACTGTGACTTCCAATAAATCTTTTCTGTGAACTGAGAGATACTATCAAACCAACCTTCCTCTGCCTCTGTCGCTTCAAAAGCTCAATCCAAAAATGTCTCCAAGTGTATTTACTTGATCAGGATTTATAAAATTTTCTATACTAGCTGTTACTTTCCTTTTTAGAAAATGATAAGGTATAATATAAAAATTTCTGGCTGACTGTTCAAGAGGCTAGAGGATGCAGGAAACTGAGTTAAATGTATATCTTCTGTGTATGAGGATTCAAACTTATCTTATGGAAGAACACCATGAAATGTGAGCTATTTGGGGATGATGGAAGTGCACTTGAAGCTTCTCCATTCTGCAAATAATTTAAAAAGGAACTGGATGAGTTGAGTTACTGCACCCAAGTCTAGGTAGCCCCTTTATGTGTAAGAGACCAGATATAAGTCCCATTTTGAGATACCTGATCCTCCACTTGTATCATATGGAAGGTCTCTGCTCCTAAAATAGCCCCTTCATAGCAGCCAGATACCTTAAATCCCTTTGGAAACTCCAGTACAGTTGCATTAGATGTTTTAGAAAACTGAACTCAGTGGAGAGAAGATTTCATCCTGTGTGTCTTTTTAGGGTTCCAGTTCATCAGCCCAAGTGGGGCAAATGTATTCAGGTCCTTTAAGAACTGATAATTGTATTTATTTACAGAGACTTCAGTAACACAGAGACATTATGTAGTGAACAGAAATACTACTGTGAAACTTGCTGCAGTAAACAAGAGGCACAGAAGAGGTAAGCAAAAAGGTGGCTGTTTCACCATGCCCCTCCTGGGTTCTGACAAACCTTCTCCTCGATATTTATTTTATTTAGATACCTAAAAGCCTTACATCCCAACTGTATTCTCTGTGTGGGCCAGAGAACCTGCAGACAGACTTAAAGGCATGTGTCTTAGTCTAGAAGCTACTGCTAGTTGACTATTGTTACTTACAGAGTGGTTTTATAACGCATTTGCTTATTAAGAACTTATTAAGGAAAGAGAGAACGGCTTTGAACTGGTCAGGTGTTTATCATATGCACTTCAATGTTTTCACAGGATGAGAGTAAAAAAACTGCCAATGATTCTTGCCTTACACCTCAAGAGATTCAAGTATATGGAGCAATTGCACAGGTATACTAAGCTGTCTTATCGTGTAGTATTTCCTCTGGAGTTACGTCTCTTCAACACATCTGGCGATGCTGTCAACTTAGATCGGATGTACGACTTGGTAGCTGTTGTTGTTCACTGTGGAAGGTAATAGACTTTCATGTTTATCACAAACTATTGCCAGACATTTGCCAAGGGCAGAGGCAAGCCTGACAAAATGTGGAGGGAGGGGAAGGGAGACCTTAAACCTAGCGGCTGCGCTGACTTGCATGTGTCTCGGGCTGAAACTTTCAGCCACCTTCCCTCATAGTAAATCTGTACTTGTTTAAGAAATAATGTCTCAGGTCTCCACAAGTCACAAGTTTGGCTTAAATTAACGAAACTATCTCCTTCCTCATGAGTGCACTTAGATAACTTGTGAGCCAGGACTCTGCTAGCACGTAGACCCCACAACAGATTACCTTGATCTCCTGTCAAGGCAATGAAAATGATAGCTTTAATAAAACTTCTCATATATGGGGTATTGTCAAATATGAAACAAACAGAAGAATCCTTGGGACTCTAGAAATATGACCTTCTTTCTCTTCTCAAAGATTACATATAACTCAAGATTCACGGTTGACACCAAACAATTTTCCTACTTATATTTGGTTCATAATGTTTTTAAAATATTTGCAATAGTTGATGCCTGCCATGAGCAACTTGTTAAGTGTTCTATAGATTATTTTGCAAATGGTCCTGGCACAGATGAAAACAACACCCTTAACTTTCAGCTGATGAAATTGCAACAAGCCAATAAAAAGTTGTAGAGATGAAGTGTCTACTGTACCACAGGGGGTGGGTTTACTATGTTTTTCGTAACAGTTATAATTCTCCTTGCATAAAGAAATGTGACTTATCCAAATGGACTCAATAGTATTTTCTAATATTTTGTGGTTTGGGTTCTTGTTTTGTTTTCTAGTGGACCGAATCGGGGACATTATATTACTATTGTGAAAAGTCATGGATTTTGGCTCTTGTTTGATGATGACATTGTAGAGGTCAGTATGCTGAAGGTCATGAGCACAACTTTTGTACTTATGTTTTCTTCTCTATCTGGGGTTAAAATTCTGATCCAGGTCTGGGTAGAGATTAATAGTCTGCAAACCCACAATTTGATTGTATAATGTGATATTTTGCTCAACTCTGTTAGGAAACAAGATTGTAAACAAAATTATTAATCCCGTAGTTTGTGCTCTGTCAATGTCGGAGGGGGTCATTTTGTTTCAGAGCACCATCAAATGCTTCTAATATCAGACTTCAAGGGTTTAATTTGGAATGTTTTCTACATCTAATAAAATCAATTTAAGTCATTAAAAAAACCTATCACTTAGCAAAATTGGGCTAAGTAAAGCTAGCATTGCTCTAGAATTTTAAATTTTGAACAATTGGGAGTTTATAAGAAAGTCTGAGCTCTGTAGTTGATCTAGGATTGCCTGAATGTAAATTAGAGCAGTATCTGTCCCACAGCTTTATAGATTTAGTCTAAGCATTCTGCATTTCAGTCTTCAAACCCTTCATGTCGTTGTGGCACCTTGGCAAAACCAGGGTCTTTAGTCTGATTTCCCAGGAGGTAAGGAAAGTAAGCACTGGGATATTGGATGGGGCATATCTTGAGGAGGTTTTCTTTATGTTTCAGAAAGATGGGATCACATGGTCACATTTACGTGTTTTAACAGTGTTCGCTGTGGCCTTCCAAGGAGTCTCTCTGCTATTGGAAAAAGCCTAATTTAGTTAGGTGCAGTGAGACAAACAAGCCCATGGACTTCCATGAGTGGTATCGGCAGGGCTCAGACTCTGAACATTAACCTTTCACTACTTAAATTGCAATCAGAATTTGCTAATTGCTACCCCAAAACAAGTAACTGAATTTGTGTTTTCTGTTCATACAGTCATTTAATCTGTGTTTGGTATTTCTTTTATCTAATAGCATATAAAAAAAGTTATTTATTTTGCAGAAAATAGATGCTCAAGCTATTGAAGAATTCTATGGTCTGACATCTGATATATCAAAAAATTCGGAGTCTGGCTATATTTTATTCTATCAGTCAAGAGAGTGACTTGGCAAACTGTGATAATTGCGCACAATGATGCTGCACACAAAAGAAGATGATGGTTCCCCTGAACTGACTTTTACACAGACCACATCTGGAATGGTTGAACAATGATACACTCTGTCTCCTACTAAATGGTCTATGTGATATTGACTATAACCATCCATTTTTGACATGCAGAACTTTGTTTAAAGGGGGGGGCTGTTTGTAGTTTTTAAGTCTGATTGAAGAGCTAATTGCAGTCAGATTTTAGTGGAATTTATATGGACTAACATTTACAGATAATAAGATTTGGATGTCAACTGTTAAACCCAATCCAGCTAGAGTAGTATTTTATATGGAAGTGTTCATTACATTTAGAGCAAAATTATTTAAAACTTTCTAAATGGTTTTGGGGTGTGTTGATTTACAAAACATTCCTTGAAGTACTTCCTGACATATACTTATCCATTTTAAGTGTAAGGAAAAATATCTATTTCACGATGATTGGAGTTGTAATTGTAAGGGGATTTTTTTACTTGTTACTCTGCTGCAGAAAAGCTATTCTTCCAAAATCATTTAAACTTGGGGTTATTTAAACTTTCAGTGTGTAACCTCAGGCCTAAAATTCACGTAGAGGGATTTAAATTACACTGGAACTAAGTAATTCTCTATGTTCAGTCACTTTGTTTATTGTGAGATAGTACAGAAGAGGTGACATTCAGAACTTACAGAGTATTAGAATAAAGGGAGTGAGATGACATACATGATACAGAGATAAATTACATTTATAGAGATTGAGCTTACCTTTTTTGTTAAAATTATACCATAGATTGTTTATTTAATTGAGTTTGCAAAGATTGCAACACTGCTCACGCTGTAAAATATCCATCAGGATTGAAATCACACAGTCCATTTAAAGAAGCACTTGTTTGTACATAAGACACAGCTTTATCCTGCAATTTTCTGAACATCTGTAGGTCCCATTTTCATATCTCAAGACAGAGTCCATTTCTTAGAAACATAATACATAACAACTGCTAGTTTACATACTATCATGTATATATCATCTCTAACATTTTGGTCATGTTTGACAACATTTTATCACCACAGAAACAGATAGGGCTCTGGCGTGTTGATTTCAAAAACATCAGAAGGCTTAGTACAAAAGGCTTGGTTTGTGATTTTACTGGGTGAATTTGGCTGGCACTAGTCATGCACTGGCTAATAAAATTTCAGAACTCGTATACTGGAATTTGGCAAAGAATGAATGTAGAAGAAAGTATCAGTAGGGTATGAGAAGGGATCAATAATGGCTTTAGTCAGTGGTAACACTGGGTAACTACCTTGCTCACTCTGGCACTTTCATTCCATTATACAATTCTTGAACTTCAGTAGCCAAAGTCCTATTCCAATGATGTCAACAGCAAAAACACTCGTCTTCATGGGGAATGACAGTTGGTTCTAATATTTATAGGAAAATATTCTCATCTCACAAAACTTATTTCTACCTGTTATATTTCATTCAGTCATTATGTATTTATTAGACAATTTTGCTTTTGGTCCTTTTCTTTAAGAAACCTGCCTGCCACTTTATGGCTGACACTCCATTTCAAGAAATGGCTTTTGAAGTGCAGCTACATCTCATATTTTAGTGTTCTGCAGGAAAGAGAATAACTGCTTTCATTGTACTCTACTGTGAATGTGAAATATCTTTTGTTAAATAATGGTGAAAATGAAGTAATAGTTTCTACAGTAACATCATTGGAAGTTCAGTTGGATTTACCAATGGACATTTTGTAAACTAAGGCAATGTAGCACTTTACACAGTGAGAAAGAGAAGTGGACTTTTCAGCTAACATTATTTGTGGTTTATCATGTTATTATATTGATGTAAGAAAACAGACATAGAACGTAACTTTGGAGTACTTTGGTGAATAACAGTAGTGGTCTACAGAGATCACTCACATGAATGAAGGCTTGCATGCAGGCTCAAGACAAGCATAGTTGGGATGCAGCTCTTGTTCTTTTATTGATGTTAGAATGAAATGTTCTGTCTCTAACACAGAAGACAGACCTCTTACAGGAGACTTCAACTGAGGCCCAGGAGCTTTTCCACTGAAAAACTAAACCTGCAAGTCCCTCTTTCATGGATTTATTTATAAGCATTTCAAATTTCCATATAAAAATATAATTATCACTTGCCTTTTAAAATGGGTAAGGTTTCCTCACTGTAAATGAAGTCACTTTCTAGATCAGCACTAGCCAGTGCTGGTCCAAAGATCTGTACTTCGCAGTTTACTGCTGAACTTTCTTAAGGCATTCTTTAGTTTTAAAACAAGCAACAAAACAGATATTCTTAGGGTATCATTTGAATCTTCAGGGCTCATGTTTATATGAAAAGTAATTTTTCTTAAAAATAATTTTTAAAGCAGTTCAATTTTAGGAAACATTTTCCATATTTCAATTGACTTAAGTGAAAATTGATTTTTTAACTGTTAATAGTATGAATTAATATTTAAATGCTAAAGTACAGAATAATAATCTTTGAGTTTCTTCAGCTGCAAGACAGCTTTAGACTGTAAAACATACAGATCATTGCAGTACATTATTGAGAGTAAAATTACTAGAATGAGCATTTTAAATTCCTGCTAGCTCTTCAGAAGATCGCAGCAATGCTATCACATCAGTCTGACATTAGCTCTGAAAAATTATGGAATACATGCTTTATGCTAACACTAGCTAAACAAAGGAGCATTTTACTTGGATTTTTAAAAAATTGCAGTCACAATTCTCTAAATTGGTTCCAATCTACAGTGTGCTGAATGTTTTGATTTCAGTCCAGCAAAAGCTGTCCATCACAGCTGTATGAATAGTGCCAGTCTAGGCAGAGGAACACTTCTCTGTCAAATTAAGTACATTCACACAAGTTTTGCAGGATTGGGATCCCCACAGGAATAATCATATGATGTAAAGTACTTTAGTTGATTAAATAAATTATAACGCTTTTTCTCTTATGATTATGCATAGATTTCCAGTCCCTTATGAAGGAATGGAAAAATACCTAAGACAATAAAAGCTTTTCAGCTAGCAGCTAGCAGCCAGGAAACAAAATGCTAGCACAGATGTCTAATAGTACTCTGTGCTTCCCTAAAATTACTATATTTTATGGTGTCAGATTCTAAGTATTTTAGGCCTAACAACAATTGAAGTTTTCCACTTGTTTCACATGCTGTTGCTAAGATGCATTGTCCATTTATAAATCTTATTAGTATGTTCTTACTTAGAAAAAAGAACATTTTTGTCTTGTGCAGTTTTTCCACTGAACCCAGTGAACCACTGCGGTGCTGATCAGTTATCTTAGAGGATGAGCTCAGAACTCAACTTTTATGTTTCCCAGAACAGGCTGCCAGGATTTTATGTAATTTCTGCTTTGGGGACATAGCAGAAGGAGGCAGAAGAAGGTAGTGATGGAAAAGATATACCAATGAAACAGAACATCTTTTTGAAATTAAGTCCCAAAATTACTCCTCTTAATTTTTTTTAATAATTTACTTATCTCAGAGTACTAGATTATGTATTGAAATTCTTGTCCCTCTAGCAGTTGGAGAAGAGAAAATAAAGCAGTAGGAGTTTCCTTCATATCAGATTTAATAAAGCTATTAAAGACCTAACAAAATGAAACTGAAATTCACATAATATGATGGGTCCTAAACTGCTACCACAAGTTGTCTTTTATCTTCAGACATTACATTTCATTCACTCATCTATTACAGCATCATGTACTTGGCATCTGAGCTGACGACTTGCAGCTGACAGGTTTGAAAAGTTTGATGCCTCTTAGCAGCAGATCCCTTCTTGTTTTGTCTCTTTTTTGCTGCATGTGGCTGACAGGTCTGAGCAGTGTCTTACAGCTGAATGAATATTAGAAATTTTAACAAGTTTTGGCTGTGTACCTATTCCTTGCTAGTACCTTTTACCAGTGTTTGTTTTAATTTATTTTTCTTTTTTTTGGTCTGTTATTGTATTTGTATAATAACTTCTGTGGTTAATATTATCTGTTCTGTTTAAATTTTTATGTACTTTAGTTTTTTAAAATGTAATCAACCCAAGCACTTTAAGCAACACTGTCAATCTTGTGAAATTCCAATCAGCTTAATATTTTGCTTTTGTGTTATTGTTTTTGCAGCTGTTTGTTTGTAATCCAATTCTCTAGTTACAACCCAATTTCCATTTTTAGGCTTGTAGTGTGAGTTGCATTGTAAATTTGAGAAGCCTAAGTATTTTCATACATATTTATTCATACTTAACAAGGATGCAGTATTTACTATGTGTGTGCTACACAGAGCAGTATGTACCTGATGAGTTGCACTCACAGTGCACTTTTTACAACCTTTTCTGCATTCTACCTGCTAACCCATCTGATAATGACTGTAGTACTTTAATCTGTGATGCAGTTATCAATGACTAGAATTTAGAAAAGCTCAAATTCTCACAGGAGAATTGTCATTTACCAAACACAGAGTTAGCTGTCGGTCCACTGATGATACAGGTATTGCTCTCTGCCATTTTGTCAATGGTCTGTACAATCTCAAGTAGGAATAATCTTAAAGGCCACATTTATTCCTGGCCCTTGTGTGAGTTCTGACAAGGAGAGCAATCTTTCTGCGTCTTTCTTCTCTTCACTTGGGCCCATATAAAGCAAAGAGATATGGAAGTAAGATAAGTGCTCATTATGGTAAAATAATGTTTTTTAGAGGAAAACTTCTGTAGTGTCCATATGAGAAAGTCACTGATTTTCTGTGTTGTTAATACAACGGTAATTTCTAGTGCTTTAGGCTTTGTATTCGCTTTGTTCAATGAAAAGACCAGGGCTTTTTGCTGTTGCATCAGTTCTGATACTGAGGTGTTTCTTCTCAATCTACAATGGCACTTACTATGTAAATAGCCTTTGGCAAGCCTCAACAGACACCCTTTTAATTTCTTTTCAGTTAACACGCATTACTTCAAAGAGATTGCTTGAACCTTTCTATAAGATTTATTTCAATAACACACTCCTTTTGCATACAGAGTCAAATAACACCTATCAGCCAGTATGTGCCCACCTGGCGGGACCATCTGGGCTAAACCCACACCATTTTACATACTAATGATTCTTTACTCCCCCTTGGAGGTTTGCTTGCTGGCTTTACCTGAATGATTTAATATGAAACTGCAAATAATTCCCTTTATCCATGATCTCAGAGTTGCTATAGTTCTTTAATAATTTCTGCTTCATTTGATTATCAAGACTGGGACTACTGTACAATGTAAAATAAATTAACTTGCGTGTGCCATTCACAGCAGTCAATTTAACAGCCTAATGCTTCTGATGAAGGCTGTTGCAGATTGCAACTTTACTGGATGTATGAATATGAAAGAGTAAGTGACTTTTCTGTTGTAGCACAGTAGGTCTGTATGAGAAGCTAGAGTAGCATGCAGCTTCCTAATTCTCAGCTTGTAGTCAGCTGAAGTTGGTGCTCCATTCTCTAGATAATCCTAACCCTTCTCCCAGGGGTTCAAAGGCGGCAGGAGCAAAACCATTGTGAAGACACCTTGCAGTTCACCAAAACATCTTGCCTGCTGCAGCGGATAATTAATGAATATTTGCAACCCTGCTGTTCCCACTCCCCAAAACCTCTTTAACAGATATACATTCCTTAAAGAGTCTGAGCTTAAACATCAGCTTTGTATTTGCAATCATGTTCATGTTTGCAAATGTCCCAAGACAGATTGTGTTCATGTACTTAATTGTTTCCTGGTCCTCTCTCAGTTATCATTCTAACAGCAAGAGCAATATCAGGGTAGCCATGTTACAGGTTCCAGTGAATTTCCTGGACACAATTTTCTAGCTTCAGTGGCTTTTGTTAAAGAAGACTTAACACTAGCTCCATAACTTATCATGATGCTTTAGGAGTAAAGTCACCACATACTATATGAAGAGGAAGAAATATGGAAAGGGCTGTTTTGTCAGAGGCTTTGAATGTGTGTATCTGTTTGTAAATGTATAGTCCCTCTCTATCTTGTCAAAATGATGCAGTCATAATAAATCTACTTAAATATTTTGTGCTAGTTTTTTAAATGAAATAAGATAGTAAAATTATTAGGCATACAATTGGGGACATATAAAAATACTGAATTTCTAGTAAAGCATACAATACACAGTGTATGTGTACAGTTGAATATCTGCTCTTTTTAATCATGATGTACATGTAATTAAACCCTGTGCTACCTGCAGAACTGTGAGAAAAAACTCATGTTGGTTATTAAGGTTGTAACATAAGAAAACAGTATTTTCTCCTGTTAATATGTTTATATTTTACAAAAAATAAAACTCCCTAGCTGATCTTGCTTCCATTCAACTTGCTTTGACTTCAGCTGGAGCCAGACTAAGGCTGAGCATTGATGTTGGTTGTTACAGAACATGCTTCTGAATGTCAGGTACCTGTATTCTTACAGATGACAAGACTGCTGATGCTTGCTTTTTATTTCATTTAATGGAGTCACTGCATTTTAAGTGACTTCAGAGAATGTTTCACCACCTGGACTGACTGCTTCTGAAGTGTCTTAAGAGAACAAATTTTGCATGCAGATGGTGAGTTGTCTTGGTGGAATACACATACAATTGTGTGACTGAGCTATACCTAGTTAAAGCACACCACTGACCTCGTCAATGTTTTTGAGAACAGCTGAAACTGAACAGAATAAAAATCAGTCAGAATTGAACTACCTTTTGCATCAGAAAACAATGAACTCTTTACCCTGGGATTTTACATATGACTACTGGAGTGGGAAAGGATTTTGCTAGTGAGATCTAAATTTCTGTCAGAGAATTGAATGGATCCCATTGTCTGCTGATTTTCCTGAAGTTATTCATTAGCAAACACAATTTACATTCTCAAAAGTGAGAATGGATGTTCTTGCTCCTGTCTAAATGGATTTTTGTTATTCCTTCAGAATCATTCAGGGAACCAAAATCAAACGTGGCTGTCAAACTGCATTTTTGTAGCTAACATAATGTAAGATTTATGGCACATCAGACTATCAGAGGACTAGGTTGAAAAACACTTCACATGTTATAGTCTGTATTTCCTCTCAAATTAAAAACATTCAAAGCATCTTCAAATCTATTCCTGGGTTATTAGAACATTAGATTTTAACTGCAGGATGGAGACAGAAATTTAAAACATGGAGATGACTGAAATAAATAAACCACTAAACTGTTCTTTTAAAACATTTTAAAGAAATAGAATTTATAGTGTACATATAAAGAAACTAAGAAAAGGTTTCCAAGATCAGGGTTCACAGTCACTATACATGGGCTCCACTAGAATTTTTCTCACTTCAGAAATGCATTTTCTGAGAAGATGTATGATGTTTACCTATGTGTCTGTTCTTTAATCTTTTTTATGAGTTAGATTAGTCATTTTACATTTACAGGTTATGTTCTGTGTGCCAGATAAACAGAAATGCTAAAAATATAATTTAATCTCAATTGAAAATTCAGATATGAGAGGAGAAAATTGTAAAATTCCGCATTTAAATACACTCATCAGACTTCAAACAACATTTATTAGACATGATTAAACATGTGACATGGAAGACCATGTAGCTGGAGATGTTAATTTCCTTGAATATTTGTGTGTAATGTAAAAATCAAGTAAAAATTTTGAAAGAGGACAAATAAGACAACCATTTTCAATACATATATATATATATATATGACAACAACATTTTAATTATCTGTTCTGATAAAATGTTCCTACTATTGATTTTTTAACAAACAGAAGATTACTCCATCACCTTAAGTTCACTCACCCTCACTGCATGACGCATTTGGTTGCTCCACTGTGACATAAGAGCTTCAAGCATTCCTCAGTCTAATGAGATTGTAGCTATGTGTCCTTGTTTTCTCTGGGAGATACTTGTGGCACAGTCTGTGGGACCAGCAGCCCTCTGAAGATCTGGATCTTCCTGGATCCTATCTCTGAGTGCATACCAGGCCAGTGAGAGCTCTCTTCACTTCTCACCATAGCAGCTTCAATATGTATTTTCCCCAGCTCATCTTTCCAAGAACACATGGTGTATGAGTTTTGTATCATTTCCAGTACAGAATAACTTTGCCATACATAGGAAGATACGTTAGCAGATCTAGGAAAAAAAGATAAACAATCATATGTAGTCTGCTTCAGTTTTTTCATGTGGTAAACGTAGGAAGATTCCTTTAAGTAATTAATCCAATAACTAAAAACTTTTCCCTTTTTGTCCCCTATGGCTGCCTTCCCCATATTCTTACATGGTTGGGTGGGAGGCACTCTCAATCCTCTATGTCACAGTAGGTGTCTATTACTGAGTTATGGTTAGAGTTTGGGTGTGATGGATGGGCTTGCAAGGGAAGGAGCCTGCTGGTGGCATTCACCACTGTGAAGACTGGTCATTATCAAAGTGAACAATATCAATTCAGTTAAACCAGTCACAAATGTTTCATCTGAACTGCAGTTCATGTTACTTAAATGCTAACAGTGCATTTAATCTCACTATGAATAGAGAAACAGCAGAGGAGACAACAACATGAAGTTTGCAGTTTGTCCCAGGATGCATGGAGAGACCAATCAGGATCAAGCAGAATTCAAGAAATAGAGACTGATTGACACTTTTTGCCAAATCACTGCAAGAGTAAAATAAAGAGGTCAGTGCTGAATGAAATTTGGAATAAGACAGAGTGAAATATCCTTTGGATTTCATTTGACACACATATGAGAAAAAATATTCTAGTCATGTTCCAGAACAGCAAAGATACAGAAGATACAGATATCACCCAATGTTGCAAACTAGACATCACAAATGCTTAGGGAGCAAATTTTACCATCAGTCATTTCAGTGTAGCTGTAAAGAAGCTCCAGGCAGGTTTTCAGCTTTACAGTGGCATTACTAATAACAGAATCTGGAACAAAGGTTCTTACAGCATCCTCATAAAAATTCTGGTGTGCAGAGATGTAAGACATGGTTATGTGTGAGCCCTGGAGAAGAACAACAAGTGTGATTATCTGTGCTCTTTGAAAACAAGGTTTGGAAGCACAAATAAAATATTAAATTTTATTTAGTAATTAATCATATAATTCTCACTGTCATTTATGAAGCATTTTTCATCCTCAAGGTAGTTTACTAGATAATGTAATAGCTTTCCAACTCTTAATTTGGTGAAAATGGTAGAAATTGGGTAATGTGTACCAAAATCCCTGTAACTAACTTCAACTTGAGCTGAATCTGGCCTCCCCTCAGCTAATTGAATTGGTAGGAACATTTTCACCAACTCCTCAGCAGCTACCTTGATGACCTATTCACTCTTGGATGCAGTTCAAAGTGCAGATCTTGTCGCACATTGTTCCAGTGCAACCCAATCCCTTGCTGTCTCTGAAACAGCTCATCTTGCCTGGAATGCACTGGGGCAGCTGAGGTTACTGAGGTTACTAATCCACTTCCAAGAAGTAGATTAGACTTTTTTTGCATCCTAGTAATAATTAAAAAATGTTAGGTAAATATTATATAGGTAAATATTAGGTAAAGCAAGGATGATGTAATTTATATGGTTTATTTCTCTTTCTTGATTCTGGATATTTCCATTTACATTTTCCGATGAATGAAAGTATTTTGAGATGAGGTCACTGACTGTTTTAATTCTGCAAGATGACTAGTTCAGACAGTGTTGGCTAAGACATCATCATGGCATTCTGTTGCCGCTCAGAATATGGTCTTGAGGACAACATAAAACCCAAATTCTTCCCCCTAACCTTTACAACTACAACATTTTTAAATGCTCAACCTCAGGTTGCTAATTCTACTGTTGATATTTATGGGGATATTTCTGGGCATAGTGCATTACTATCCAGTCATGTGGTTTCAACCAACATTGAACTAACTAAACTTTTGCATTAACATGCTTCAGAGTAGTATTCAATATGTATATTAAATTACATTTTTGCCATGGCTTAGAGAAGATGGTACATGAAATCTAAAAGCTTTACTTTATGGCAATGTTACGCATTCCTACTCATTTATTGTTCCCAAATATAGTTACAGAGGATGAGGAAAGACAATCAGTTTATTATAAAATAAATGGTACTGCAGAGCACAGACTGTGAATAGCCAGTGTTTGGTGTGGTAACAGCAGTGAATAAAGGCTCACTGTTTAGTAGGTCTGTTTAGTTGTCATGACACTTGTAAAAGAAATGTACCTGGAGAATTTAATGTGTTTCCTTAATATAGTGAATCTCTTGCTCTCACTCTTGTGCAGCAAATCCCCAGATCACCTCCAGATACTGAACTGAAAACAAACCACTTCATTCATCATGCTCTGTATACAACTGAACTTTATTTATACAAAGGTATTTTACTCAAAGTCACAGTAATATGAAAATGAGTTGTATCTCCTGGGCAAAATATTTTTTATCTTGAAACTGTGTTAAAGCTGAATTCATGATACCATTTCTTAATGAAGAAAACACCAATATGTAGGTCCTCCTCCAGTGGCATTTTGTCCCCTGGCATTTTGTGGGTTTGTTTTGTTTTGTTTTTCTGATAAGCCAGTATGTATGGACTTTTTTATTCTTCATATTACTCCTGTAATTTTGGACAGTATCATCTACCATTCTATCTTTCACTGAATGGAAGAGTACTTAGCCTCTCTCTCTCTGGGATTGCAATATCAGTCCACCAGCTTCAGTGAATTTTGCAACAATTTCATATCCAGTACTATAAGGCACATTAACAGGACTCATCCTTTGTGAGAGGATGTTCAGAAAAGCAGTAAGGGCTATAGATTGAACAGGAAAGTCTGTGCTTTCCATTCTCATCCATTGTTGTTTTACATGGGGCAAATAATGTAACCTCTCTCTTCCTCTATTTCCCAACTAGAAAACGAGTATGTCAATATTTATGTATCTCAGAGAATTATGGAGCTTAGGTTAGTGAAGTAGAGTCTGCAACCTAAATTACTCTTACATGCACAAGAATTAGGCTGTCACACTATATTTTTTTTCACTATATTTTCAGGCAGTCATCTGTTAATAACTGCAGCACTCCCTTCAAGGGGGCAGATTTGCAGACTGTTATTTCACAGGAAAAAATCTCTGCAAAGACATCAAACAACTGTTCAGAGGTGGTAGGAATTAATTCAGTGATACAAATATGCTCCGAGTTTGTCCTGAAAGGTCAGTATTACTGAATTTTATTTCCAAGTAACATATTCCATTATAACCCCAATCAAAGTCAGTGTGCAAAGATCAGGTCCAGAGTGATCTAACAAGGGAGTTGCTGCATGTTTCTTTCAGCTAACTGTCTCTCACCATGACTATATCTAGAGATTTCAAAGGAAAAGGGGAAAACTCTATTGCAGACAGTTTATGAAACAAATGACCCATTAAAGAAGATCATTTCCTTACAAAGAAAGGAAAGTTGCCAAGGGAAAGAAACTTTCTCTGCAAGTTTACTCAGATTATTTTTGCTGGTTTTTTACAGATATTATTATATTGTATTATTTTATTATTATTATTATTTATTATTACTTATCTTTGGCCCTTGGAGGGATTTTACAATCACTATGAGATCATAAAAAAAACTGACCTAACAATGATAATACCAAAAAAAACAACCACCCAAAAAAACCCAAACAAACAAAACCAAACAAAGAAAGAGCCCCTCAATGCTTTTATAAATTTAAATAGCAAAAAGTCAAACATTTTAATGGAAACATTTTTTTCCAGAACTCTGTCCTTAAATTATTTTAATCTTGGGTTTTGTACTCTTCATTTTAATCTCGTTTTTCATTTCTGCAAAGCAGAGAAGCCAGCTAAATCATGGCAATGTTCTGGAAAGGAAATGGTTAATATCCATGAAGAGGAATAAGAAATGTTATGTTCTTTTTATAAAGGGCAATTTCTCACCCACATGGGTATTTGGAGCTCATATGGATCAGGTTTCCAAATAACCCACATTTTGAGTCTGGAACAAATAATATGCAATATGCAGAAGTGAACCATCCTCACCTGTCACTGTGACAGACTGGTTGTTTAAAGAGCTGCTGCTCATTTCCACTGTCCATTTTTATCCATCCCTTTTAAGAAAAGAGTTATTCTCTTCCGATAGCTGGTAAGATCTTAGGTAGAAGAAAATTTGCATTTAGCTGAATGTTAATTTTACAATGCTGTCCAGCTACAGCAGAGTAGTTTGCTTTTACTTCCTCCCCACAACCAGCACACACATAGGAAAGGATTCTACTGAACCTTCTCGACTCCTTTGAGCAACCTAAGCAAAACCGTGTCTCTAGGTGGGTTTTCTGCTTAAAGGAGAGAGACTTCACAGAACAAATCAGAGCAGTAAAGGACATTACACCAGGAGGGCGCTGCCCTTTGGTTTTGGCCATATCAGCTATGAGAAATGAAAATATTTTGTGCTTCTTAGAGCTTTCCTTTGCGGACATTTATCAAGTTTTGCCTTTACTCTTTCTCTTCACAGTTTTCCAATAATCATCTCAGCATTCTCAGACTTTGGGAAAGGTCAAATCCAGACCTAAAACCAATTCCAAGTTTTATGAGTTTGATGTAAAAAGATAAGTAATATTTGTTTTTGGAAGCAGCACACGGGATCTAAGTAACCCCATATTAGGACTGCTATGGGTTTACAAGTCATGGGGTCCTAATTCATTTACAAGTGGTGAAGGCTGGATAGCTTGTGCCCAGTCTCCTGCTGGGTGATACAGCGGATTAGATAACTAACGCAAGAGTGTAACACAGGAACTTGTAAGTGGCAAGGATTTTTTCTAAACATTTAAAACATCCCCTTTTACTTGCTTCTCAGTCAATACACAATTTCACACACAAAGAACATTGTGCTCTCAGATTGGAAAACCATCTGAGAGAGTGATGGGAGAAGTGATGGATGACTGCCTCAGGCATGAGCCTCAGGGCATGGGCATGCTTATGCTCCATGGTGTCCTGCAATGCTAATGAGAGCACCAAAAGCCATCCTACTGCTACTTTTAAAAAAAATATTATTCTTAATACCATGTGTGCCCAATTGTTTGGGCACTTCTCCTGTTGCTATTTCCTCTGAACTGTAACACAGATGTTGATTCACATACAGAAGCTGCAGTAGGAGAAAACTGTGCTCTTATTTCTCTAATATAGTGCATTTCCTTAGCAACAGATGCCTTTTTACACTGATCTCATTCACACTGGAACTGTGTTTCCTCCTTCTGTGAAAAACTACTACTTTTCTTTCTCCCAAATCCTACCTGCCATCCTTCCATAATAGGAATTTAATAAACAGGCAAACAAAGCAACCCCCCTGTGCCTCAAAAAATTCAAACTGCCAGTGGGTGAAACAAACTAAAGGCACTGATTAACATGGTCTGACAAAAGATGAGCTCAAAGCAGAGCACCTTATTCAAGAAACCCTCAACTGGCATGAATTGTCATCATCTACATTCATGAAATATTTGATACTCATGAACAGATGGGAAAGAAATCCTGCCTTTCACATGCTACAATTTGATGTGATTTGGGGCATTCACTGAAGTGAATGTGAGCAGTTTTTATCGTGTTGTGTTGGAAAACTGGCTAGTGTAGCCAGTAACCTGTTAATTGAAAGTACACATATAATGCTTGTAACTAGGTCCATGCTACTGCACTTCAAAATGTAGTGTAGGGATGTTGGACCTTGGTAGGCCCAGGATGAATTTCCTGATGTTACAAGCTCTCTGACAATTTTGCCTGTGCTTTCCAGGACAATTTCCAAACAACTCGAGTCTGAAAAAAATGAAAAATAGTCAGGTTTCTAGACGAAATATCAGCTCCAGGAGAGTGGCTCATTATGAAATAGCAGGGTTTGAAGGTCAGGGGTTTTTTTCTCCTTCCTTTTAGTACCTGGCTGTAATCTACAGACTTACATAAGACCAACTTTTAAACAAAGAGTTTGAATAAAAACTGCTTTCAAGCTGTTTGACGGAGGGCTCTCTTTAGTGTTGGGAGCAAAAAGGATTTAGAACAGGCACTTACTAAACCTTAAAAAATATTCAAAAATATTCTCATGCTACCTTTCTTTTGATAAAAGAGTCCCACCTCAATAATTCTTTGCTACCTGAGTCTCTCATCAGTATGTATTTTGTCTCTGTAGAAGTAAATTTCCAGTTTCCAGTATCACAGCAAACAGAAGTTAAATCGAAAACTGTATCTATACTTTAATTATTTTATGATTCTTTTCACATAAACCATTTGCATTTATACTACCTAAAATCTCTCCTACAAAGATCCTTTGTATGATTCGCTATTGCAACACATTAAGAAGCAAAACTTTTTTGTTTACTGTGTACATAAGATATAAACCCACATATTTCATAATGTGATGTAATATATATAGTAATTATGTCTTAATTAACTTTTTTTTTAAGTGCTGCTATGCCTTTTGGAACAGGAGAGGGATCAAGTCTGTAAATGGCAGGAAGCCTATAGTCCTCAAAAGTAGTTTGAGGAAACTTGAGTCTTTCATCCTCTCCTTAGCACCCTTGAGGTCACCTCTGGAAACGCATGAGCATCCTCTTTTGCAAGAAACCAAAAGCCTTTACAGGTGTTCATCCAGGTGAAGTCCTTGACTGGAGTAACACAGCACTCCAGTGACACGTGGGCAATAAAATCCAGAGCTCCCAGTTGTTATGTCTCCCTAGGCTTCGCAGGGCTCCCCTCACTCCCATCTGCACCCCAGATCCTTCTTCCCCTGCCCACTGGCCCCTAAAACAGTGAGATATTTACCCAGATTGATTGTTTCACCGGTGAACTATCTGCTCTTATCATAATAAAGAGCAGTAAGTCACCTGGTCCTGAGGAAGGCTGGGGCTCCACTAGCTGACATCACTTACAGCACCAAATTGACTCCCATTAAGCACAGCAGTGGAAAGACAGATGTTATGGTAATAAGTGTAAATTATTTTACAAGCAAAAATGAGAATATCTTTATTCTAATTCTTTAACTTTAGGCTATTTTTTGTATTAACTTAGATTAATGCAACATGCTTCAACTATTTTGTGGGTATTCAAAATATTCCGTTCTATTTTTTGGCTTGAAAACAGGTAAAGAATATGTAATTTCCAGCTATATGGCTTGTTTCTGCTTCTTCTGAAATCCACAGGGAAATCTTACCTTTGAATTCAATTTAAAGCTGCATTAATAAAGCTGGGATGGGGACCTGGTCAGTGCTGGAGATGGGAAAATGGTATAGATGCTCATTTTGCCTTATGCATCTTGCATGGTATGACCACTCCTGACTTCAGTTTATTTCAGTGGAAATAACACTAAATTTAAGGTTGTAGCCAAAAGTTGCTTTATGCAATGTTTCAATATAGCTAATATAGCTAAGTGTGAGAATGTTCAGGTTGGTTAAAAAGCATTTATTGTTAAAAAAATCAGAATATTCAGATTCTATATTTCTTTTATAACCATAGATCCCATGAGAATTTTAACAGCAGTTTAAAGTTAATAGTATTTCTTGCTATTCATGGTCTCCTCCATAACTTCAAATTGAGTCTATGATTATTGCTGATCTTTATGAACTAAATTGCTCATAAATCCTTATTCATTCAAGTTCGAACTTCATAATCTAATGAAAGCCACTAAATTAGAGAGTCCAGTCCCATTGTATCTTAGTTGACAGACTCATAGAGGAAATAAATCAGCTAACGAGATGAAATAATCAGATAGCTAAAAGACTGTACACAGATTGCACTGTTGGAAGTCTATTTTAAAAGATAAGCTAATTTATACCCCTTATATTCCACTATAACCCCCTAAATTCAGAAGTGTCTGACACAGAGTACACTCACAAATTCCTATTTGAAAATTGCTAAGGAAAGTTTCCATTGAGGCATTTCATCAGTGCTCTCTAGTTCTCAGAGTAAGGAAGAAGGCACTGGAAGACCTGAGATTTTTCCCCAGCACTGGCATGTGTTGAGTCCAGCTTTTTTATCCTTGTCTCTTTTGCTCTGGCGCTTCCCAACAGCTTGCTGTCTCTGGCATGCATCTCCAAGAGCAGAGTCATCTTTGACAAAAAGCCATGTAGGCATCTGAGGGCCAAGTTCTCTGCTGAAACAGGCTGTGTAGCTCTACTGAAAGCTGTGAAAATTTACTGATTCTCACCATATGGAAACCAACCTCCATCCTTAACTGTTGTTCGACCAAGTTTTTTCTCAACCAAGTGGTTCTGATTTCAGATGTGTAGCCTTGGGGGCATGGGGTAGTCGCTGCATGAAAACCTTTGTTACCCTTTGAATTTTTGATACATAATACCATGGAAAATTTTTTATCCTCTTCCTATATATTTTGCTATACAACTGGATTATATAATTATCAAGAAGAGAAAGATCCAAGTATCTAAATTACACGTTTGCAACCAAGCTGAAAGCTGTAGCTCTGTGGTTTCCTCACAGGAACTCATACAAAGTGAAATAACATTCCATCTTACCCCTGTCTTCATGATTAGATGATGAAAAGAGTATCTGTGCCATGTTCCTAGTGCAGATAGTTGTTTCTTCTATTTGTAACAGAACATGAGATTGACTTCCAAAATGCACTTAGGGTAGAGTCACAGCTTCACTTCACTAAAGATGCTTGAAACTCCCACATCAGCAGGCTTTCTGTATAGACACTTCTGATTCATATGGCAGTACAGTCGAGTTGTAGTTAGTGTATGCACTTATAAAGGGAAAACTATGACCACATCCATCTAGAAATAAGCCCTGACTTTTTTAACTATTACATTGAATCGTTAGGAGAGGCTTTGCTATCTTCCTTAGTCTTCATAAGCCAGGGGAAAAAACACAAAAATGGCTCATCACCCAGAAAAATTGTTTCATAAGGATCTGACCTTCGGTTTGAAAAGTGTGGACAGAACACTGACCAAGTGGAAGGGAAACAATTCCCCCTGTGGGAATCAGAGTGTGGGTGCCGTGCAGGGTAGTTTTGTGACCCACACAGCGGCTGCCGCATGCATCAGACCAAGTAACAATTCTTCCACCCTTGAAACTCAGGAAAATAATTTATATATAAAAAAAAATCATACAGCTCCCTGCTCAAAGCAAATTCAATCATAAAGGACTTATGCAGTGCTTAGCAGTAAGAAAATCCAGGCTGCAAAAATATTAATTGCCTTTAAAATAAGATAAAATGCAATTCTGATAAAGCTAAAGATATCAGCTGTAATGTAATCACTGGACTTCTTGTTTATTTGACTGACTTGAACCATTTCATCTTGAAGTGTTTTTATATAATGCACATTGATCAATTTATTCTGGGTAAGACATCCACTGAAATGATGATGGAATTTATGTCAGTGTGAGAGTGACAGTAACATATTTCTGTCAATAATAGTGAAGAATAATATTAAAGAACACTGCAGAACAAAGTGCTCCTTTCTTAAGCCATAAACCAAGATGTGAGCCTTGAGAAATAGTCTGATGTCATTTTAGGAGGCAAACATTCCACTAACGGTATCAGAGTCAAAAAGTGCATAAGGAAATACAGAGATGACAGTGTTTTTGAGATTAAGAAGGAATGTGTCTGTGGTAAGTTTTCTTTGTCTTTTCCTTTTGTCCTTCATTTTATTCAGAAACAGTTTTCTGTTATTCAAAATCAGGGTTGGGCTCCTGCTACAAAAACATTACTAATTTCTTTCAAATCTCAAACATCAGAAATATTTCTCTGATTTAGGATGCTTTATACTTGCCTGATCATCGGTGATACAAACTACACTCCTGCTCATTTTCTGTCTCAGATGGCACAGGGTAAAAATAGACATGGAGATGCCCTGTCCGGGCAACCCAGTATTGCTCCTGGCCATCAGCACCCTCCATGAGGGAGCCATGTAGTATCAGCTGAGGTTCCTGCTATAAACTGGATTATTTTTTATTATTTATTTATTTATTTTATTATTATTATTTTTTATTAACTGAATCATCTGCAAAGATTTGTGGACCTTTATACACGCAGAGAGATGGGACAGAAGTCAGGAACCACCTAACTACCAGTAAAATCTGTTCAACTGTACATTCAAACCAGGCCTGACAGCAAGAAACACTTGTTCAGAAACACGTTAACACAGACTGCTATTATTAGTTATTGTTCTTACAGGATCAAGCATGAATTCAGCAGTAGTAATGAATAACACTGCCTTTTTATGTGCCTCTGTAGAAGATGTGAGTGAACAGTGTCAACGAGAATACATGAAGCAGAAAAACTCATGGAGGAACAGGATGACTCATGGACAGCATAGCTGGAAGCAAAAAGCTTGTAAGACACATGAAAAAAATGTCAATTGTGAAGAATGTCAACAAATTGCATCATACAGCATTTTGTGAACCAACACTTCACACGCATAAACGGTGAGTAGCTCATCTTCGTAATAGTCTAACAAGCTTTTATCTTCCTTTGAAAGATAAAAACTTGAAACAAGTAAATGAATTGCCCAGTGTGACAGATCAGTGTTATAACCAGGAACGGAATGCAACAATTCCCACTTCAGTCTTTAAAACAAAACAGAGCATAGAATTGTTCGGGCTTTCCACCTTTGCCAAATTTGAGCAAAGCTCATCGGAGGACCATTCATGAGGACCATGCTACACCCAGTGGAATTTACTTCACCCTCAAACAAGTTTAACTGTGGATATCAGTATACCTTGGTGTTTATAAAAAATTAAATATTTTTTTATTATTAATTTAATTTCTTTTTTCTGTTTTGTTTAAAGATCTCCACTGAATTCTACTCTGATGAAGTTTTTGGTCTGGTCTCCCTTCTTGCAAAAGGACCAGTTCTCTTCTGTACAGACACTTTGCAAATACAACTCTTTAGCTGTTTCTAGGAGATACTGCAGTATCTCTTAAAAACTGTTTTGTTTTATTAAGAACTCAAAGTGTCACATTTCCATACCACTGCAATTACCAGGTAACAGTGTTTTTACTTCCAAAATGCCATCTCCAAGTTTATCATCTCTCCGTGACTTGTAATTCTTCTGGATAAACATGTTTGAGATCTGTGATGGTCTCCCTGGTGATGGTTACCATAGTGCTTCACAGGATTTTATTTCTGCTCATTCCTCAAAAGCAGGACTGTGGTTCTCTGTGGGAGGCCCAGAGTTGCACCAGTCTCAGATTTTATTGCCTTTGCCATTCTGCCCCCACTAAGGAGTAAACCACCCAGACATGCCACTGTCATCTTTACTGTATTCCATCAACTCTGCTTAAAATAAATGTTACAAATCAATCTCCTCCTTTTCTCAGCTCATTATTACACCTTATTTCATTGATTTCTACTTAGTTTCTATCTTGAGTACAAATTATTCTTCATTAAAATTTCAGACTACATTTTCCAACATCATGCACAATACACCAATTTTTAAAAATTTCAGTTATGTTAAAATACAATTCAAAAGTCTTAAAAATAGGAAATATTAACACTACTGTGATGCTAATGGCCTCAAATGCTATGCTGTCCACAGGAGCAAATACACCTGGCTTGGGCCAGTTCAATCTCACTCATTTTGATAAATATCTTCCCCAAACCCTTTTTCTTTTTTTCTTTTTTTTTTTTTTTAACTAAGAGCTGTAAGAAAATTGCCAAGTCTCATTTCAGGGAAATGACTGATATAACATCTATCTCAGAGGCTGTGTCAGTGGCAACTAGGTACCGAAATATCTTTGGGAAGCTGAGCCATGCTGATGCGTTTGAAGAGGTAGATCATTTCCACTACCTTTGCCTATGTTAAAAGGTACTTTCAGTAGTGCCTTGTCTAAACAAAGTCAAAGCTGATGGATCATTTCATATAACAGATGCAGAATCTGGCTCGCTGTAGCTTCAAAGTCAGGTGTTCAAACTGATTTCTAAAGTACATATATGTAAAATATCTATCACAATGAAGCCACTCCCCATGGTAGATAGAGCAACCCTTTAAAAAGAGTAAACACAGATATATACAAACGTTTTATATAACATGGTAGTTACAGTCTCTTGCAGAATTTGCATCTTCTGAGTGAGTGACTGAGGAGCAGAGAAGAATAAATGAACTCCCTTACACCCCCATTTAAGTTTTGAGATTTATTTGCTCAGAGGACAATTTGTCATAAAACATACGGTAAAATTATATATAAACATAAAATTATTTATTTATACAATAAAAGTATAAAATATACAATAAATACACAACAAAAGTGTAGGAGGTGATCGAAGGCTATCAAGGAGGAAAAAGCTCCCAGAGGAACATGGGCACAAGGCAGTAGCCTTCCAAATTGCCATACAGTTGTTCAGGCAGCTGGAATTATAACACCACAAAGCAACTATTTTGTGACCCTAGACCTGGTCCCAAGCAAAGTGGGTTACATGAGTAACAACACCTGCCCACATAGGATCTTGCATTATGGACCCATCCTCCTCTAGGGTCTGCAGTATGGTGTGGCAGGACAGAGATGAAGGAAAGGGCACAGTGACAACTGTGACATCTGGCCAGAATTGCCTGGGAAATGGCTTTCTCCAGCCCATGAAAGCTTAAATTGGAGACATATTCCAATTCCTTGACAAATAGCTTTTGAAGCTTTTCTAGTTTGTGAGGCAGTCACAAAAACACAGAAGATGTTTCTGGGGACACTAATAACCAAGGTTACTGCTAGTGTCCATACTAACATGTACACTACTGCTCACCTCTCTGGGCTTGCTCAACCATAGCAGTGAACGAAGGGTCCAACCTTTGCCGATTTCCATATCCTGGTGGTAGATGGGTCCATCTACTTGAACAGAGACTGACTGCAATTTTGAATTTAGATCATCTTTATCCAGTCCAATACTTCTCCTTTCAGAACATTAATAAGCTGCATATGCTGAATAAAAAATGAGGTAAAAGTCACCTGCCTGAAGCGTGTGTAAGGGGTGGCATTCCCTGTTAGGCTGTCGGAGTTGACCAGTTGACCATAAAGAGATATTGATAAAGAGATGTTCCAGCTTCTGCTCTGCTTCATTGCCAGGCTCACAGGATCATGAGTTCCATCTGTTAAAGCCCTGATGGTTACTTATAACTGGGAAAAAAATGTACCAATCACCAAGCATATCATGTAGGACAAACTGAAGACGTCTACATGACACAGAGCTGTGCCAAGGGAGCAAAACAGTCAAGTTAAAAATCCCATCAGCATACTGTTCAGCCTGGGAGAATACACCTTGTTGAATAACAGGACAAATCTGGATAGTTGTACATAGCCCTATGCTTCAACAGGAACATTCCCTAGGGCTTCACCAGAGCAGAATTCAAACTAGAGAGAAAACATGGTGAAAGTAAGTCAATAAGAAAACAATGTCATCCTTTCATAAGGATGTCAACCAATGTTCATCTAATTCAGGTAAAAATAGAAGCTCTCCCATAATGACCTAGTTCTTCTGTTTCACACTGCTAGCTCTGTCCAAACTTGCGTCGTTCAATACTAAACTTTCTAGAGACATTAAAGTCTGCATTATAAACACATCATAGCAGATTTACTGTTGGACCAACTATATTATGTCTGTCTCTTAGAAACACCCAGTAAAAAAATTGTAAATACTTCAAAGACATTTTAAGTACTGATGAAATAAATGGACCCAGAGCATTGGAAAGAGCTAGATATGGTACAGGCAGGGAATAGCCAAGTTTCCTCGCATACATCTGTAAGGGCTGACATGCAGCACCCATTTTCACAAGGGCTGGTTCCCCTCCTTCCACCATGTCTGCATGTGGCCAGGCAACCATCCCCAAACCATCACCCCCAAAATATCTGCCCTCAAAAAGAAGCAGGGATGTGGCATAGATGAAATACATACATACATGCATATACATACCTACTTATGCACACACTGGACTAGCCTCAGAGCTTTTAATAGCTGAGAGAGGAAGAAAGTTGGTGGAACAAGCATAGACAGTAGAAAGGACCAAGCAACAAAAATCAAGCGTGTGGTATGAAGCCAGGGCAGGCAGCAGTCAAGAACAGAAGCAAATGGGACATCTATGGCCTCTCAGGAGGGTAGATACATTCAAACATGCCACGGAATAACTGAAATGATCAGTGGTATCAGATGGCAATACTAAGTAAAAGAGATAACAGCACTTAACCTGTGAAGTCAAGCAGGGAGAGGTGAAAAAAAAGATTGCACTGACTTATAACTGGCAGATTGCTCCGGTGGAGCGGCTCTCCAAAGCATCAATAGGGGACTGAAAACAAGGCTGGGGAGCCCTACCTCAAAGCCAGAGAAGCAGTGAACGAAGACCAAAATTTTTTTAGCTGTTACAGGAAACCTAGGGAGAATGACGAGTTCTTTGCAAAAAATCTCCTCTTCTTGGTATCCCATTTCTGTTGCCGTTGTTAATGCAGTTGAACATTCTTTGAAGTTGAAATAATTTCCTTCATCCAGCTTTCCTCCCTCCCTGACCTTGTTCTTAGCCCAGTTGAATTAACAATTTAAATTAATTAAAAACATACTTCTCTGAGTCAAAGCTCTTCCATACAATGTGTTAAGAAGCAATATTGCACACGTTTACAGAAATTTCAAGTTTAAGAGGTTTTACCTTTCTGACTATACAGATTTTCCCTGTTGAGAAGACTAATTTTCTGTGATTACAGGGATATCTTCCATGCATAATATTCACCAAATTTCATTCATTCCTCCTTCAGAAAAAGACCTTGATCTTCCTTATTCTTCTCGCATTTCAGTGAATATTTTTTAAGGCGAAAAATACTTGATAGTTTTTCAAACTATTCAGATTCTTTCTTTTCAAACATTTTGTCCTTGTCCACTAGGATTTCTACATACTCACAATTCCTGGGATATTTCTCCTGTGTCTGTCTGTTCCAGACTGAATTGGCTTTTGGGGTTTTATGAACTTCTATGCATATTCCTGGCAATACTGGCTTCACTGTCTCTGCTTACTGATCTTATCATAAGCCATTTACCGTTTCCATTTTATCCTTCAATTAGACCCTTCTTCAAACACATTCTTTCACATTCTTTCCCTAGGTTGTATGAAAGAGAGGTCTTTAATCTCCCCTTTCCTCTAATTGAAGCTGTCCTTCCCATCATGTCCTTCCCATTTTCCACTGCAATGCTCTGGTTTTCATTAAACAATGTCAGCAGTACTCCAGTTGCTTTGCTTTTTCTTTAATGTGGTTTTCCAAGAGTAATAGTAACTTTTTATCTTTCCAGAGAACATGGAAAGAAAGTTGCAGTTTATTAGCCTCATAAAATAAAGGATTGCAGTACTGATACCACATGAGAACAAGGTAAGGAAAAGATAATCCTCTAGGTCTCAAACAGGTAACGTATTACCAAACATTGCTGCCTGACTAGGCACTACCACATCAATACCTTCCAACTGTAACTAGAAAGACTGCAGGTCAACCCCGTTGGGGGAACAACATGAAAAACTAGAATTGGGAACAAAACGAGAAAAGGTTCCTTTGGTCATATAATTGTGCTATCTGGGAGCACAGTGCACTTAAACAGTCACAAAAGCCTTGTCCAGACCTGCACAGATGGAGGAGATGGGACTGACAAACCCCAGCATTAACTTAGTGTAAATTGAGGGGAGATGTTAATCATTCAGACTTTCTTCTCCACTGAAGATGCACTGAGTACCAGCCACAGAAGATCTCATCAGATTAAAATAAGACAAATAATGGTTGTTTCCACAAGCAGGAGGTCTTAGCCTCCAGCAATTATCAGAGTTCTGCTATTATCCACCAGCCACAAAGCTAGCAATTCTTCAGACAGCTCTTACAAGCAGTGATAATAGACCAAGTTCCTAGCCTGACTTGACTCAAGTGGACAAGATTGCCAGTGCTTTTGTGCTGTGCAGTTTCCTAGTATCACACTCTCAGACAGTTACGTTTGCTCTAAGACAAGTCATGAAAATGAAAACCACATACTCAATATGTGCTGTAAATCACATACAGCTGTTGGAGTAGGATAATACCTGCTTTTCTTATTGTTTGTTTTTAGTTAAAAAGAAAGAAACAAGCACTTATTTTTTTCTGAGTGGGAAGGAAGGAGAATTGAGGAATGAAAAGAAATTAAAAGCTTCTCAAGAAATTTTCTGGAGTTTGTCCTTGCCTCCTTCCAGGATGAGATTTCAAAGCCAGAGCTTAAAGATAGCTTGAATTGGAAGCAGAGAATGTGCCATAGTTTTATCAAGCTCAGGGTTAAAGAGAGATGTGGTGCAAAAACAGCTGCTTCTGACTCACATGATTCAAAGTGACTGAAAAACCTACAGGGTG